GAAAATTATACAAATCAAACACAATTAATTACAATTCCCAGTAAAATATTTTCTAAGAAAATCAATTCCCTGTAAAACATTTTCTTTCCACCCATTTTCCACACTTGCAATCAAACGGACCCTAAATGTCTCAAGGAAAGTGGAAATTGGAGAAGCTTGTTTCAGTTTGATCTGTGAGGACTCGACTCAGGCGTAGGTATTGGATCGGTAGATTTAGGTGCTGACGAAGTTATAGATCCTGATCAAATCTCTTCAATTTAGCTTTACTTCTAGGCATGCGACGATTAGGTGAGCTAGCACACAACATGTGTAACAAGCCATGCGCTCAATTATCGTGTCATGTACGTTCACCACCCCAAGCTAAAAGAGGCCATTAAACAAAAAGAACAAAATTTGTAAAGCATAAAGATCAATAGACATCAATACTTGTAAATATATGTAAAGAAACAACACTAGGGTAAAATGCATCTTCAACGTGTCGAAACGTTAAGAAATAAGAACTTTAAGAAATAAGAACTTGGTGCAAGAGTGACAAATAAAACAGTTGGTATTATGTAATTCATTAAATTTGCTGAATCGAAGTAGTCTATTGCGGGTTGGGAGGGCGACTATTCGCTGCTGAGACCCTAGAACCCCATTCGAGTAGCTCTTTGCTGGTGTCGTCCTTGTGAACAATCACTTCGATGAAGCATAAGCAGTCTTTCTTGTCTCCGGTTGCAGTTTCAATTGCTTTAACTAGTTCTTCTTCATATTGTACCTACGTTAACAATGACGCGAAAAGAAAAGAACTTAAATCAAAATAATTTACTTAACAAAAGGGACAGTTAATAGCTCAATTACCTTAGTTGTCCAGCAATTTCCTTCATCATTGTGGATTGCATCTACTAATGCAGTGTAATTCCAGTTCTTGATTACATTGTAAGGCCCGTCGTGGATCTCTACTTCAATGGTGTAACCACCGTTGTTAATCAGGAAGATGATAGACTTCTGTCCAAATCGAATCATTGTCGACACATCCTGAGCAGTCACCTGCAATGTAAAATCCAAAAGAAGATGCAAAGCTTAGACATACAGCCTTGCCATGCTACCATCAACAACCCACATTCACCTAAATGTGGAGCAGAACTACCCTACTGTGACATTTCCATGATAAGTAGGAAAAAACCCGATTCAAGTCGTTACTGAAAACGTAACTTTCAGATTGGGAGTGAAACCACTATAAACCTATCTATTTGTTCCATATTATTCTCTATCTTCTACAAAT